TTATATATATATATTCGTGAAGTGTATCAATTCTTGAGTTTGATATGTAAATCATCTAGAACCAGATTCGTATCAGTTAATAACCCGAGGGCACATAATAATATATATGTAATTTTTAGTTTAGCATACAGATTAGTCGATATAAATAATCTAGCTGGAAATATCAAGCATTCACACGAGAAATATATTTTCATAACAGAAATAAGATTCCTTCTTTGTCGGAATAAATAAAATATTAGGGCATAAGTGGGAATACTCGGCTCGAGTCTTAGCATTGACATAAAATTTGTATTGTTAAAAAAAAGAGTGCACGTAAAGTTCACACCAAGCGATTGAAGTAAAACTTATTTGCTATTGTACAAGATGGCGTTTAAGTAAAAATAAATACATCATAGAACCATTTTGAATGTTTATTAGTAATATGGTAACACTCGTGATGCACACATTTATTAGTGTCAACCATCATACAAATTTATATAATGATAAATTATAAATTATATATTTATAAGAGCATTAAAAATATGTATAATATTTAAAAACAATAATGTAATTAAAGTCATACTTCAAATATGACATGATCGGTTTGTCATTGTAATTAGCATTTAGAAATGAACCTTCATTAGAGAAATGAAGTAATTGTTGATTAATAAATTCTATAATATTCGTTCACACAGTGGATTATGTTAAACAACGCCTGAACAAATATTGTTTTCGCAACTTCACTCATCATGTAATTGTGTTTGAAGAACTTCATGTAATTAAAATTAACATACATTCATTGACTGCTTGTATTTTTTTACTTTTTCGCTGGCGATATAATCTCATTCTTTGAACAGCTGTAATGTCTGTCTTGTCTAAAAAATATTTTCCATTTTAATAACTTCAAAGAGTTATAAAAACTACGAATAACATAGAATAAATTTCTAATCCATCTTCTGATTCAGGCATTTTTCGCTAAATCAAGATTTGTACTACGATGCAACTTTAAAATGTTTATTTATCTATGCCAAATTCCTTGTTGATATCGGTACGCATACAACATTAATGCCGTTACGCATACAACGACGGGTCTCTATTCACATACACGACGACTAATCACAACCGACCCGTATAGAAATGATATCATCGAGAGCGAATGACGAATATTTGGCACTAGACTTATCTTATTTGCCGTAACGCACTTCCGTTGCATTTGTACGGATTTGCACCCTAGTCGCCCCTAAAGAAGTTTTACTTTAAAAATCAAAAAATTCAGAATGACTTGACCTGAGTAAAAAAATTAGCAAGTCAGATTTTTTGCAGAAAACACAAACATCTCCTTCAGAAAGTCAACTTTTTAGAGTGCAATTCTTAAAACTTGGATATGAAAAGAAATATTTCATTAATTTTATGGTTTGCAAAATCATTAAAATATCAATTACATAGAATTGCCTTCTAGCAAACAATTTTATAATATAAAACGATACTAAAGTTCTACCGTTTCATCGTTAAATATAAAACGTTCTATTTAATTACATCATAAATCGAAGATTTCAATCAATTTTAATCTTGAATAAACATGTTATTTTAGTAATTCTCAAAAATGTATTAAATATTCGGAACAACCTCTTGCGTGTAAGTTGTTCGTCATCAAAGAACAAAGAATTCTTGGTAAAATGACGTCAAAGAGAAATGTGGAATGTCACATTAAAAAATCTGATATTCGCCGAGAAAGAAATAAAAAGATAAATTTTAATATCATATTTAAATTTCATATGCCATAAATCATAATTTAGCTCATGTTGCACAATAAAATTTGCTGACTACTATAAATTAAATAACGTTATTCATTCAAAAGAAAACAAATCATAAAAGCCTAAATAAATATATCATAAAAGCGGTATCGCATGTATAAAACAATAACTCAAATATTTGATTTTGTTTTATGTTCTTGATTTAGTGATAAGACTTTATTAGTTCATGTAATTATTGTAAACGGTACTTATGGATAACGTAAACATAACTCTACAATCTTGATAATTGATCATGTAAATAGTTATCTATAATCATTATCAAATATAAGAAATTAAAAAAGTTTTATAATTGAGATATAGATATAGTTTTGAATAAAATTGATCTATCCCAATTTTCAGTTTTGTATCTAATAGGGCTAATTTTCCTTCGATTCATATTTGTCACAAATGTAAAGGGTAAAAAGTTACATATTTTTTGACAAAATATATTTTTATAAAAATTGATAGCTAAACAGCAATGCAGATGCAAAAAAGTTGTGGGTAACATTTTAAAATTCGTTTTCAATACGATTTCATATTTCTTACGTGATAAAAATATATGAGAAGAGATTAAGGGGAGCGTTAAAATGTAATAAATTTTAAGGATTATATATATATATATATATATATATATATATACATATATATATACAAGCAAACTAAGCCTAGGAAAAAACTAACAAAGTGTTTCAGTTAACTTTGCTCCCTGCGGATCAGAGGCATGAATTCTAAGCCAGGCCAACAAAAACTACCTGGAAGGTTTTGATAGAATGCAGAATAAAAAATAGACCTACAAAGTAACAAATAGAACACTACATACTGTGAATGCTACAGTTAGCAATTCTCCCTGCAGATCAGAGATATGGACTCTAAGCAGTGTGAACAAAAATACCTGGAAAGTTTCTAGATGTGGTACTGGAGAAGATTAGAGAATAAAAAAATAAAACAAGGTAAAAATTAAAGTAGTACATTCTGTGAATGCTACAGTTAACAATTCTCCCTGCAGATCAGAAGCATGGACTCTTAGGCAAACAATCCAAAAACACTTGGAAGTGGTATTGGAGAAGATTAGAGAATGCAAAATAGAACTATAAGGTAACAAATGTAGATGCTGTAAATGCCACTGTTGGCAATTCTCCTTGCAGATCAGAGGTATAAACTCTAAAGCAAGCTGACAAAAAATACCTGGAAAGATTCGAGATGAGATACTGGAGAAGATTAGAGAATACACAATAGATATGTGAATTTGTAGATATGTGAATGCCACTGTTAGCAATTCTCCTTGTAGATCAGAGGTATGAACTCTAAGACAGGCAGACAAAAAATACTTGAAAAGTTTTGAAATTTGATGCTAGAAAAAATAGAGAAGACAGAACAGACCTACAAAGTAACAAACAAAGAAGTACATACTGTAAATGCTACAGTTAGCAATTCTCCCTTTGGTAGATCAGAGACATGGACTCTAAGACAGATCAACAAAAATACCTGGGGAATTTCTATATGTTGTGCTGAAGAAGATTAGAGAATAAAAGATACAACTACAAAGTAAAAAAGAAAAATACATTCTGTGAATGCTACAGTTAACTATTCTCCTTATAGATCAGAAGCATGGACTCTAAGACAGATCGATAAAAATACCTGGAGATAGTACCGAAAAAAAAAATTAGAGAATACAAAACAGACGTACAAAGAAACCTTAATAAGTACTACGAATGATACAGCAATCTCCTTGCAGATCAAAACATGGACTCTAAGACTGACCTGTCTTAAACAAAAAAATCTTTAGAATATTGAAACGTGGTGTTGCAAAAGATTAGAGTCTACAAAATAATCCTACAAGATAACAAATAAATAAGTACATACTGTGCATAGTTTTGACAAGAAAAGTAAACTGGATCAGATCCATATTGAGAAAAAAGTGCCTTTCGCACTTGCATTAAAGGTGAAATGAAAATAGAAGTTTGAAGGCTATATGCACTAAATATTATGCATTATGCAAGATAAAGGGGTAAAATGTGGTGCCATATATATAATAAATATTTTTTGTCATTTTTTTATATAGAACTATAAATTTTAGTTTAGTAATAATTTATAATAATAAAAATTGAGCAAATAACAAAATTAAAGGTTATCGCATTTTATTACTAAGCATATATGTACTTATTCATACATATATAATAATTGTATATGTAACACATGTTTATTACTTAATACTGAAAACCGATTTTATTTCTCATTTCAATAATGAATCGTCTAAATACCAATTTCCAAACATGTAAGGTTGCTACTTATAGGTTACATAGAACTTTGAGTATTACATAAACCTCCCCCTCACTCATATTTCTACAACGGATATATTATTCTCAAAAAAACGTATATTTTAAACAGTAAACAAATAGATTTGAATTTATTTAAAACTGAATCATACGTAAAAAAGTAAATAAAGGCGATAGATATATATAATTTCATTCCCAAGGTTAACAAACGCAAATCAATTCCCCATACACAATACCCCTTGTGTCAAATCATGCTAACCTAAAATAACCCTTAGGGCAAACAGATATAAACTTCCTACCTTATATTTATCGGAATCCTTATTATAAATCCACTTTGAATTTATCACACATTATCCACTCTGTTTGTCTAACAAAATACTCACAAAACACGACACATTTTTATTTAATTTATCACTAAAATAACATGTTATATATTAGAAAACGTAGCCATATTAATTCGGTTCTCGGAGCGTCCCACACAGAGCAATACCCGACGATCGACTGATTTGTTTTTCGTTCTGTTGTCGCAACTGTTTCAGATTGGTGTGAACATTGGGTTAATTGAAACTGAGCTGACATCAGGCGGGAATTTCGTAAAATTATTCAAAGTTTAAATTTTTTACTGTAATTTTTAAAAAATAAACTTGTTTTGTGTAAATCATTTAAAAGTTCAAAACATTTTTATTTAATTCTTAGCTCTTCATTTTTTATTCAATTTCTCATATTTGCATTGTGCCATATGACCACGTTTGCTTCTCTTATTTTTTATATGGGATTTGATACATAAAAACTGATATAATGATAATTTTATTCATTAATTTTAATATAGAATTTCACATATCAGTAACAAATATATGTACATACATGCTTCATTATTATTAAATAATAATTGCATTATTATTTGTGGTGCTCTCTAACGTCCTAGTTTTGATTTTGCTTTCTTCACAAGACCTGTCATTTTTTGTATAACCGGTAAATTTATACACAATACCACACTTATTTATATTTTTATAAATAATCTATCCATTATCCATTCATTTTTGAACATTTTAAGTTTTTTGTGCAATGGCTCAATCAACAGGAATAAATCCATCAACATTGCTACCTTTAGGTAAAATATTTTTATGAATTTTGCATCATATTTAGGTTAAATACAATTCTTTTAATATATATTATTTTATAGAACTGGTAGATAAATGTATAGGATCTAGAATCCATATAATCATGAAAAACGACAAAGAAATGGTAGGAACTCTTCTTGGCTTTGATGATTTTGTTAATATGTTATTGGAAGATGTAACCGAGTATGAAACTACACCTGAAGGCAGAAGAATAACCAAATTAGATCAAATCTTATTAAATGGAAATAATATCACAATGGTATGATATAATAATATATTATTTTACTGTAGTTGAACCTCAATTTTTAGAATTGAGTTCTAAATGTCGCTTTGTGTTCAATCGGGTTTCAATGGTATCTCTGATTTAGATAATTTTCAATTCACTTGCCATTACTTGATTATAAATAAGATTGTCATCAAACTCATTAGGCATTACAAGCTTTGAAGCGATAATCGGACTTCATATATTTTATATTATGTGTATAATGTTGTTTCCATTATTTTCACAAGACAAGCACTTTGCAATTTAGTCTTGAATATTGGAAAAAGAATAGCTGAAATATGTAGGCCTCTCTTTCTAATCTATTTTTTTACCACGTATTTGTCTAAAATGACATACGTAATAATGTTAAAATAGATTTTTATGTTAATACTGTTTATCAAACAAGTTGTTTTATAAATTATGTATTATTTTAGAACTCCTTATTATCGTACTAATGTACATTTTACATTTTACAGTTAGTTCCTGGTGGTGACATGCCTGATTCCTAATTACAATTGAAAGCCTTAATATTAAGTTTTTATTTTTTACAAAATTTAAGTTAATATGTAACAATATTTAATTTTGTGTAAATATTTTGATAATAAAATCAAATTGAAGTTGTTACTTGTATTTCATTTAGAATGGATCACCAAGTCTCGCACTATAATTGCTAAAAGTTTTGCAACAATTTGTGAATGTTGAACAATACATAATTTATTATTGTTTTGAAAGTTTTTTTTTTAGATCTTGGAACAATTCAGGAAAAAATGATAAAAAGTGGTGAAAGTTTTGTAGTGTCTTGCTGTTATAAGATTTCACTAACAAGTGAAACAAGGAGATAAAATATTGTTTATATTTAGATAATACAAATAAAGCAAATCTGTTTCTGTTATAGTTTATTATATAACTTTAACTGATAAAATATTGTTTTAGCACAATGTTAGAAGAGTATGGAGTTTTGTGTGAGAGTGTACCATGAAAACGAAGCATTTCAAGTTGACATACGTCACTTATCGTTATTTAGCGATAAAATAGTTTCATATTTACCAATATCTGAATTTATCGCACTTTAATATGCCATTATTATCCCAGCGCTCGTAGATTCAACATGACAGCTAAATTGGCTTTTAGTTTCGTGATTTGTTGCTCGATAATTTTAAGGTTATGTGACTGTGGAGTTCTAGTGTATATGAGGAAAGAAAATATGGAAAACCCCCTGAAGACAACGGTTTGTACAATGACGAAGATAAAGTAGACGTTCTAAACGCCGAAGACTTCAAACAAAGAGTCTTCAACCAAAATCATGCAACCGTCGTGGAATTCTACAATAGTTGGTGTGGCTTCTGCCAGAATTTCGCCCCCGTGTGGAAAGGATTAGCTGACGACCTGGCAAACTGGCAGAGTGTGGTAAGAATTGCTGCAATTAATTGTGCTGAAGAGAGAAATACACAAATATGTAGAGAATTTGAAATAATGGCTTATCCATCCTTAAGACTTTTTTATGTAAAATATCCTGAAGGAACTGGTCAAATCATGCAAAAAACTACCAACGTTGATAGTCTCAGAACTACTGTAGTACTAGAATTAAGATCGTTACAAAATAACAACCATGGGGCTTCAACGTGGCCCGATTTAAGTTTTTATAATAAATCTGATGTTGCTCTACTTTGGGACAAACAATCAAATGAAATTAAATACGTTTTTATCATTTTTCAAGAAAATAATTCTACAACTATCGGGCATGAAATAGCATTAGATTTACTAGATATCGGTCATATTTCAATACGCACAGCATTAGATGAAAGTAATTTAGGCAATGTTTTGAATATTCAAGAACGACCCGCTGTAGCTGTTTATCAAAAAATGCACAAGAATCCGTAATAAAATTAAGTCCTTCTAAACCTACAAGAGATGAGATACGTAATTCTATTGAAGTCTTCTTGAAGTCTCATCAAATTAAAGTACATCCTGAAACTCATAATAAAACGGGGCATTGGAGGGACTTAGAAATACCTGATAGTAAGCAAATGTTGAACAATATGATGCTCGAGGCTTTACAAAGAAAAGTAAAATCTTTGGGAGATGCAGTTTTCCAATCAGACTTGGAATCTGCTGTTCGTTATTCCATTTTTCAAGAAATTCCAAAACAAGCTAATATTGACACTGAAAAATTGATTGCTCTGCAGCAATTTGTTTCAGTATTAGCAAAATATTTTCATATGGGACCATCTGGTAAAACCTTCTTGAACAGGCTTGATGATAGCTTACAAAGATTGACTGAAATCAATGGTCAAGACTTCTTTGCCTTAGTAAAGACTTTAGAAGAGGGCAGGCCCGTATTCTCTACTCATCAATGGTTAGGCTGCAAGGGTAGCAGACCTGGTCTTCGAGGCTATCCATGTGGTATGTGGACCTTATTCCATCATCTAACAGTTCAGGCTGCAGAAGACCATTCTAATGACGAAAATCCTGTGGCTAAAGGACAAGAAATATTACAAGCTATGCATGGATATATTAAAAACTTTTTTGGCTGTGCTGATTGCAGTAATCACTTCCAGGAAATGGCTTCTCAAAGAAATATTTGGCATGTTGTAGGAGGCGATGAGGCTATTTTGTGGCTCTGGGCTGCACATAACCAAGTTAATAAAAGACTTTCAGGAGATATTTCAGAAGATCCTGAGCATCCTAAAATCCAATTTCCCTCTTATGAAAGGTGTCCAGCTTGCTACAAAAGCAAAGGTGGAGATTGGCAATATTTGAAAGTATTAGAATATATCAAACAATTGCACAGTCCTGCTAATGTAAGTCTTTTAGATGTAGATTTAAGTATTTATATTGAACCAAAGGCGATGTTCAGTTCGGCTAATATAACGAAATTAGATTTTAATATTTGTATATTGATGTATGCCGCTTGTGGTGGTTTAATATTTGTAGCCATTAAAATGATATTGAAAAAGAAATACAAAAAGAAATCTTATCCGTATGATGTTCTGGGAAAAATCTAGTGATAACAAAATCTATTAAATGAAATTGTGATAAGGAAATATAGAATATCGTTTGCAGAATGTTTTGTACCAATTAAAGCCTCAAATCGCAACATATCACTGTTTAAATACATGATTGCTTATTTTATAGAGGCATCAACTATTTCCGACGCAAATTTGTTTGCATTCAAATTGATGTCTTCCCACGCATTATTAATTGACTATTTTATTGCCTGCATAGTTCTATTTATTTGATTTAAGATAAAATCTAATTAAAATAAATTTTATCTGAAGAATTTAGTTTGATCCAATGATTTGTTTCTCATAGCATACCTGGAAAATAATTAATACATTATATAATGTTGATTACAATAATCAATTATTTTGATATGCTAATTGCATAATTAGCATTGTTAATTTGTTGATTAAAAAATATTTAGACAGTATTTTTAAAACACAATTAAAACAATTTTATGACGCGTATAAGAATTTGTATAAGAATTCTTCAATAAAATTTATTTTAAATGAAAATTTTAAATTATATTATTGAAAATCTAAATTTTTATTAAAAATTATATTTAGGTTTTATTTAAGGTTGTTGATAGATGGTTGTGCTTATATTAAAAACTTAGTATCTATTATGTTGTATGCTCAAAACTAATTGTACATATATTGAAATTTTAATATTATTTTTTGATTAAACAAATAATTTTATTGTGAAGAAATGCACCAACTTGACTCGGTCAAAGACATGCTTTTTTAACAATATGTGTGCCAACGCATTCTAAAAATATGATGATCTTCTATTAAATTAATTGGAAATTGAAAAGTTTAGTATTGTGCATTTTGTTATAAGTTGTTATTATAAGTAAAGTGCAGCTCATAGCTTTTAATATTTTTAATTGATGTATTGCTCAATGGTGATTTCTGTTTATTAAACTGAGTTACCAATATGCTCGCTTCAATAGACATAGCAAATGAAAGCATTCCGTATCCTCAAGCGTTACCAAACTAACATTAAGGAGTTAAATAAATGTTGTTTCCAATAAATATAATGGGAAAAACATTTAATATTTGTTCCAATTTGTATTTATTTTTACTACAATTATATACAATAAAATATTTTTATATATATTTTATAAAGTTTATGATGCAGGAGAGAAAATAATGTTAAGAATATAGGTAATGTGTATATATAAATGTTTGACAAGCATGTTCTAGTTAAATAATAAATACAATGTTAAATCTACTTAAAGATACTTTTTTGTTCAAATTATTGTACTTATTCTGAACAGTTTTTTTTTAGGATAGAGGAATGGAATATATAAGGAGTAAGAAAATAATTCTTATCTCACTAAAAGACTACTAGTGTAAAAGGGTATATTACTTTTTTGGCAATCATTATTTTTTTAGTAAGGCAGATTCAAATACACATCAAATTCGGAATTTAATGATACAAATGACGAATCGCTACTTTACATGAACTCTCTAATAGGCCAGAACCACTATTCAGAAGTATAGTTTCAAAATAAAAAAATTAAAGTACGATTTTGGACTGTGAAATTGTACCTTATGTGTTTATAAAAAATACTTATGAATCAAATTTTAGTTTCATGTTGAAGCGGTTTTCAAAAAATTGTGGATCCAGCCTGAATTTTTGGGATTCACGTTTTTTTTAGTATACAGATAAGACGACGCTCCATACGATAACATAAAACATTTATTATTAAATTACAATAGAAATATAATAACAATAAATAAAAATAACAAAATCAAATGTCGCCAGAATCTTTACGAAATTTGCTGGTAATTGGATGTCCTTGACATTGCACAACCTCAATAGAAAAAAAGATTATAGTTTAACACAATTATTATTTACAACAAATATATATTTACTAAATTATTTGGGAAAAGGACTGCTTGGTATATTGATTATTGAACATTTATCAGCTTTCAGAAAAATTTATTCTGAAATCTTGGAAAATGCAGAATAAGATTTTTATTTTGGCAAGTCCTAGTTCCAAAAAACATCTAATAAATGTAAAACTCTTAAATATAATTAAGGTAATAAAAAAAACGCGTTATACTACAAGATTTAAATAAAAAGAGCATGATTTTCTTATATCATCAAAGTTGTATATAAAGTTAAATACATACTTAAAGGAAGAGAATTCTTCAAATTATTGTGAAAAACAAGAATTAGTATAAAAAATTAAATTTTCTATTATAACCATATGATCTAATGATAAATAGTATAAAATATTTAATCTGAATACTTAAAAATCAAAATTTTCAAATTAAACTTAGTCGTTATGAAAGATATAAAAATCCAAAATCTAATGTACGAAACTCTAATAATTATTTTAATTATTTGGGTATTATCCTTCATTTAAATTATTTATTAAATAATATGTGTATGTTCAAATATATTTACATAAACATATAGTATTACTAAAACCAAATGCAAACGACATTTGGTTTTAGTAATATTATAAACAAATAAATATAAAGTGCTAATGAATATTCTAAGTCCCATTCGTTAAAAGTGAAAAATATTTTCTATGGATGTAATTGTTTCTGTTTTTAGAAATTACAGTAATAAGAATCAAGAAATCAATTTTTAAAATTGCATTTGTTTAATTCATAAATACTTAATATTATTTCCAACGCCTTTTAATCAAATTCTTATAGTATAAAGCGTTATTTTACTTAATATCTTAATAATGTAAAGAATCGAATATTAAAATATACCGTAAACATTTTACGATTAATATCAAATTCAAACAACAATAAAAATTATTAAATAGTTTCTACATATGAGAAAATTACTTATGGTTAGATAAATATATTTGTACTAAACTGTGAGAATTTCTTACATTTGAAATAAATGTAATGTATAATTGTGATGTATTTAAAAGAATTATATATATATATATATATATATATATATATATATATGTATAATTATAAAAGAAAATAAAAAACCTGCAATACACATTTCATAAATCAACATATCAAATTGAAAAAAAACTACAAGTTATGAAATTTTAAGTGATTATCAGATCTAATACATTTTAATAATCCATATTTTTAACATAAATTATGATAAATGCATATATAGTTCAACATTTCATTGATATATTTCAAATGACAATAATCATTAATTTCTATGAAATGTATATTACAGATCCAAAATATAACATCAAGATTTTTCACTTAATTATTACCATTACCATTATATGAATATCATTGGTGAATATTTTGGTGCAAAATTAAGATTGTACGTCACAAAATGGCACAATTTCCTTCAAGGACTCGACTATCGATTTAAAACAAACTCACAAAAATCTTTACCACATCAACCATTTGACAAAAGTGTTTAAAAACGAGTGTACACAAATGTGAAAAATTCATTTAAAAATGCAATAAATATCACATATAAACAAATTGTTATGCGTGTAAATATCAACTATAAAAGGAACGGTATGGATTATTATTCCTCCAATTTTATTTATGTTACCTGCATTAAATAGAAATTTCGTTTTATTGGATAGATTTATGAATGGTTATTAAATTTATACTCACAAATATTTTTTCAAGGAATATAAGAACTCACTTCTAATTTATTTTCCAAATATGAGTATTTTGCCTAGGTAAGAAAATATAGACAGATAATCCTTAGTCATTGACTAATTTGCTATGTGATAATTTTCCTAAATTTTACATCAAATTTCATTTACTTACATTGCCGATTTATATTTATTTAAACTAGCTACGTAAAAAAATATTCTTAATGCAAGAGTTGTTTATTAAATTCGAGTTTCTCAAAAAATAATGTTACTCTTTTGTAAATTTGGATTAATCAACAAATTATTGCTATGAATATAAAGAAGCATTGGATGTTAATTGAGCATATTTCAAATAAAATACTAATAAATCTAATATAATGTTAATTACAAGGTAAACTAAGGATTTATACTGATTAGACGAAAACTGTTTGGGTTCAAACATGATCAATAAACACCATAAGCGATTGATTACAGGCCTTCTAAATTAAAAAGATACACATTTATAAGACCATTCAATGAATATGGGTTTGATCATGTATTTGAACTCTAACACAAAACAAGAAATGTTACGATACAGTTGCTAAAATGTGAATAATAAGATTAAGTTCCTTAAATGGTGTCTTGTGAAATTATTTATGCCAAGTATCATTGAATTGGCATTTTTTATATAGAATATAGTTTTAAATGGCAGCATTCGTATTTTTAAATCAACGTAGTTTGTTTATTTACCGGTGTCCCCAACTTTATCCTGCGTTAACTGTCTAGATTTAATAAGAATATTTATGTAGTAAAATATCATCCTGTGAATAAACTAGGATTCATGCAAGGACGAAGTCATATTTAATTAATTTAAAAAAATATGTGAAGAATAGTTCATTGAGAACAATTGGTAAAAAAATCAAGGATATAATTTTAGCATAAGTTCAATTATTTTATATAAGATTAATTCTTTTCGCAAGTTTTTTTATTAAGTGATAAGTTTAATCATTTAAAAAAGTCATTAAATAATTCATCATAGATATGTATTTTAAAAAAATTATGCAGTACTTACGCGAGAAATATCAACTCCCGTCATGCTTTTAACAAGCTCTGGCATTTTGCTAACGATTGTCAACACTTCACCAGTCAATTTAGATGCTCCTACATCACCAGCACCTGAAGACACCATCGTGATTTTCTTTGCTTGAGATAATGGAGCTGCAACTTCCGCCGCGATCTGAAAATATAAATAATAATGTAGTAGATTGAATATAACAAATATTTATTAAACTTTAAAATAATCATTAATTAGTATAGTTTTTACCTTAGGCAAAGTTTGCATAAGCATGTCAACCATAGCAGCCTCTTTGTATTCCTTCCAAGCCTCTGCCTTCTTGGACATTTGCTCAGCCTCTGCTTTGGCTTTGGCTGCAATTGCAAAAGCTTCTGCTTCACCACGAACCTGTAATTATATACACAAGATAAGACTTTCCAATTTATTTATACATGATTATAGTTGTTCCATAAATTATTTTTTATTAACAATTTACCTTAACAGCTTCTGCTTCTGCCTCCGCCTCCAAGATAACTCGTTTCCTATTAGCCTCAGCAATTTTCTCCAGCCTATACTTTTCAGCCTCAGCTGGTCTTCTGACCGTGGCCTCCAATTCTCTTTCCCTTCGCTGCATTTCCTGGTCCTGCACCAGGATCTCTTGAGTGCGTTCGACTACTTTAATTTGCATTTGTTCCTCCTTGATTCGTTGTTTCGTTTTCGCTGCTTGTAACTCGTATGCCATCTCGGCTTCAGCCTAGGTAAAAAAAATTGGCAATAGAAAATATTATGAATCATTTAAGTTTTCCGTTTCCTTTACCTTTTTCGTTTGGACTTCGACATCATAAGCGGCCTTTTTAAGTTCGAAATCTCTCTGGGCTTTTGCTATTTCGGTATCATTTAAAAATCTCGAAGCCATTCTTTGTTCCTCGGCGATGGCTTCTTTAATTTGGGCATCACATCGTGCTTCCGCCTCACCAATTCGGGCATCCCGTTTCACCTCCGCCGTACGCGCCATACCAAGGGATTTTAGGTAACCCTGGACAGAAAAAATATATATTATAAAATAGTAGTAAATATAAATATGATTATTGTTATTGGAGTTACGGGCAAAGTAATTGATATTTCAATTTTGCACCTATGGTTTGCTACTGAAAGCATTTTAATGTAAGTTTGTCTGTTGGATCGATTGCGTAAAGCCAAGCCTTAACAAGCTCAACTAGTTTTTATATATTAACAAAAATTCCTGATACATCATAGCTCTTAGACAAAATCTAAATGAAGAAAATTTTGTTACAGCGTGGAAGCCATGAAAATATTTCAATAAGGGAAAGGCATATCCTATTTTACAGTTATACATTTAGTTACATTCTTGCTTTAGAATCTTTAGATTGTCTTGATTCATAAATTTCTTAATATTTAGAGAAGATTTTTGGCAATATTAAAATGGCAACCCGAGATTAGATCCTATTTCGATAATAATATGAATGCTTTAGAAATTGATATCAGAATTTTAGAAAGCATTCAATTATATATAAATGAAACAAAAAGTTAAATAAATATATAATAGTTATGGATAAAAGGATTTATTTGCTTTTGATCAAACTATGTAAATATATAAGGTATTAAAGTGAAAATCGAATTTAAAATTTAAATTAAAATACAATACAAAAATTTTTAAAATTAAATACAATATACATTTTTTATATTGTTTTAAAAATTGTGCTCCACCATTTGAATAAACATAGTCAATTCAATGGACAAATCAAAAACTAAAGTATTGATAGATATCTTCATTGATTTTCGAAGTATTATAATGCAACATTTTTGTATTTTATTTAGTAATATCGTTTTATATTTATGTATCGCAATTTTCTATGAATATTGTACTGGTGCCAGAGTTGAAATAGGTCACTGTTCACTTCTGAAAACTTATTCCTTATATTTTTACCCTTACAATTGGTTCTGCACAATTAAATAATAAATCCAGAAAATGCAGGTATATATCTTTTAAATAGACCAATGTATATATATATATATATATATATATATATATATATATCAATGATCATCATCATGAGTGATTCCAGTCACAAGACAATACTTACACATTAATATGACAATACACATTATTATTACACATTGATTTTAAATATTTATTAACACAATTGTTAGTGAGAATACACCCAAATTTACATAACACATTTGTTTACTTTATGTAGTTCACATATACATATATTTGTATACAACATTAAGAAGCTTTTCAGGTACTTTATACATTAAAATTTGTTAATATACAGAAACCACAACAATTTGGAATCACATTAAGGATTGATCAGAGATTATTTAATAAATATAATGTTGTGAATCACATAATCACAGTGACTTATTTTTAATGATTAATAATTTTGTAACATATACAAAAACAAACCTTTTCTTATGTTTACATCTACCTACAAAAATATAAGTGAAATAACTTCTCATCGAAAATGCAGAAATAATAATATAGCTTTTATAAATAATATCTACAAGCATACAACAAAACATAGCAATATTGACTAACAAAAATTAACCTTCAGAAACATACCTTTGCACCCTGCCGCCAAAGAAAGAAAAAATAAAATTGTTTTAAAGACATATATAATTAACCAACTATCCTAAGAATTAAAATTTTTAATAAAAAGTTAACTATTTGCAAATAAAATTGATAGAGCAAATGCATAAATTATTAAAAGAATAAATAACTTGGAGCCAAAAATAAATGATGTAATTAAATATTCATTCTTTCTATATATAAATATAAATCAATAAGAATGGTTGCAAGCAAAAATGCCTTCATAAATAATAAATGACCGATATTTTTATGAAGTCAAAGTATACAATTATGTTTTTGAGTCTCAAAAACTTATCATATTGTGAGAAAATTTGTATTTAAATATATTATTATATTTAAATTATTGTAACTGATTTTCAATTTCACTTTTTGCCTTGTATTAAACTAGCAACCATAAATGGAAATATTCTAATATAAAAATTTTAACCTACATAAGTTTCAAAGTATGTAAAATCATATGAAATCTATTCCATTTTAAATAAATGAGTTGCATAAAATAATTTATAGCTATGATTAACTTATATATATATATATATATATATATATATATATCAAAATTAATATAATTGAAAAGAGAATCTTCTCAAAATCCATAAATCAAGTAAAGTTTTAATTAATATTGATATTTTAGTACACACTCAGTTCATTAAAATATATGAAATATTTTAACCAGTGGGTAGTTTGTGGTAAATCCATAACATGTAATATGTTATGTAAAAATGCAAAAAAAATAAAAAATGCAACATCTTACCTCTTCATCACGAATATCCTTCAGCGTATATGATACAACAGTAATCCCCATATTGACTAAATCTGAAGACGCTACCTCAAAAACTTGTTTACTGAACTTTTTTCTATCTTTATAAATTTCCTCCACAGTCATAGAGCCCATTATAGCTCTTTGATGCCCTTCTAAGGTAACAAGAGCTATGTGTTGTATTTCTGATTCTCGTTTTCCCAAAAATTGTTCGCAAGCCGCACTGAGCATTTCCTCATTTTGTCCCTGAATTTTCACTTGCGCTATTCCGGTGACTGAGATTGGAACACCTTGGCTGGTGTAGACGGTAGGAGAGTCTACTTGAAGAGTCATTGTGTTTAGAGAAATCCTGAAAGGAAAAAAACATATAGTAAAGATACTCTTATTCAAATAGGTTATATAATATGTAAAACTTTAAAAGTAATATTTATATAACAAAAGTTTTGGGATTAAACATCATTTGATTGACTAGATAGCAATTGAATTGATTTGAATGAGAAAAGTACATAGCTTACTATAATGATTTTTTATACTAGTAAATATTTTAAATAAATTATCAATAGCTTATATTTATTTATTTATTAAATAGACATCAATTATGGTTAATCACAATAAATAAAAGAACTGATTTAGTTAATTCACTGTGATTGTAAACACTTATTTAGGTTCAAGGCTAATAATTCAATAGAATCTGATTAGATCATGCTTGCAAAAAATATTGCAAAGCAAACAATTAAAACAAACAAAATATTTTGAAGAAATTACCGTTGTACTCTTTGAATAGAGGGCCAAACAAAGGCTCTTCCTCCAGGAACCAGAAGTGGTTTCGAATAGCAACATCCTGGAATAAAAATAATTTAAATATTACTAATATAAACAACTTTGACATTTCATTATAAGCACCATAAAAAAATCTGTGGAACTATTTACCCGATATCACTAAGGCCTCATTAGGGCCACACGTCACAAACCCCCAAGTCATTACGCACAATAATTATTAATTAATTTAATAATAATTATCACTTATTTTATTACACTTAAAGCCGCCAATAAATTTTGTTTGACTTTTAACACAACACGGGTGTGGGCGCATGCGCAAAAGAATTGATCGTAAAGTTGATCTGTAGTAGTCGTCACGAAGGCGCCAGGGGTAATTTGATGCTGGATTTTATTGAAAAGATGAAATATTAATTATGATTAGTATATAATTATAAGATTCGAATTTTAATAATGATAATTATTTTTGATATTGTTAATTTTTTTTTGATAAATGATGTTGGCACGTGCGTTAAGCGTGAAGTGCACTACAAATGCATTTTTTCCTTAACTGGTATCGCGCATTCCGGAAAAGCAACTTCAGGTTTTAACTGTCATTATGATTTCAAATTTTATGCAAATCATAAATTATTTAATGTATAGTAAAATATTATTCTTTGATTATGATGGGTATACAATTGAAATATTAGAGTTTTAGCGAATATAATTATAATTTTTTATATAATGATGTAGGTACATGCATGAAGTGCGTTACAAATGAATTTTCCAGGAAAAGCAACTTCAGGGTTTAACTGTCGTTTTGGTTTCAAATTTTCCTTAAAGACAGCCAATTATAATAATCTTTATCTTTTACAATATCACAATCTATATATTGTATAGTAAGATATAATGATGTTATAATGATTATAATAGTTAATTATTCTTTTGATAAATAATATTGGCACATGCGTGAAGTGAGTTACAAATGCATCTTTTGTTTCAACTGGTATCATGCATTCCGGAAGAAGCAACTTCAGGGTTTACCGGTCATTATGGTGTCAATTTTTGTACAAAGACAGTCAACAGTTCTTGTCTATAACAATTTATTTAATGTATATATAGTATGAAATTTTATTTAATATAATATCCAGTGTAGATAATAATTATTTTATTAACTGATTTATATTAAATTCCACTAACTGGCGATGTGTAATATTACTTTAATATTAGTTTAAAATTAGTGTTTGTTAGATGGTTTTGAAATGTCAAGTTAGTTCTAAGTTAGTTAGTTCTAGTGCATATTGTACAGTATAATTATTGCAAACAAAACTGATTATTTTATTAACTGGCGTTTATGATATTTTACCTAACGGCGATGTGTAATATGATGATCGGGGCAGTTTAATTTAATTTTGACAGTGAACAAATTATTTCCCCTACGGGTCATATGTGTTGTATTTTATAAATCAGAAACTTGTATTAGGGAATTTAAAAGTACAGTTATTTTTTTTAATTTTACATATTTTGACTTTTTATAACACAAACTTTTAGATTTGAAAATCAGTTTGAAAATAGTGTTTCTTTTCAAGTTTTTAATTGTTAAGTTATTTTTGACTATTTACAACATAAACATTAGCAATCAGATAGTTTTTTTTGCATCATAGAATCAGTAAGTTTATTATTATCCAGTTCAAAATACATTTTTTTTAAAAAATGATTTTTTTATGCTATAATATTCGATGACGGGGCGATGTATTCTGTATATTCACTTTAATAAGCCATTTTGTACAATAATCATTAATAATTTTACGTTATTACGACCAAAAATGTGAATTGTATAAATTTAGGGCGAGTTAAAAATACTGCAAATTTTGGAAAACAAAATTAAATCTTTGGTTTGCTTAATGATGATATGAATATATATTTCAAAGTCAATTTAGACCTTTTATTTTATTGCTTAAACTTTAAATCACACTACTTTACATTATTTTGGAAAAGCCCTGATTTATGGTTTTATTCATTTATCATTTGGCATTCAATAAATATTCGGCCAGGATCATTTATTATGTCTTCTATTATATTGAGCAATTCGTTTTAATATTTAATCAAATTAGTTCTTTGAATGGTTATATTAATACTTTCAATCCTTAAAATACAGGTCTTCAAAATTGGTTTCAAAATTAAGAAGCTGAAAAATAAAGTAATTTTTTCAAAATATAAAGCTCTGAAAAAATTACTTTGAATCTAAATTATTATTAAAAGTAAACTTGCAGAGTTGCAAAATACTTTATTTAATATTTTGTTATTATTTGTTTACAGCAAATAATAACCTTATTGATTAATTAATTCATTTATTTCTTTATTAATATATATTTATATTTGTACATTATATCATTAGTATAACCATAGTATAACGACTTTTCTTCATTCCTAAAGCATTTAGCTAAATTAAGTTAAAACTTAGTTTAAAAACTGTTCAAATTAAATTAATATATTATAACTTTATTACACATTTTTTTAAATCTCATTACATTTCACATAAAATAAAATATTTTTATCCTCTTGTTCTACGAGGTCAAGCCGCATTGACTCTTATTAAAACAGACTTTAATGTTCCAAGTTGGTGGAATATATTATTTATTTGAAAACACAATTATATAAAGTAATGAAAAGAAAATTACCCATCAGAATGAATGAAATACCTGTATCATCTAATAAAATTTAATATTCGAGTTATTTACCTGTTTTGAGTGCATTCATAATTGATTTCATATAGTACAAGAGGCTAAGACAATATTTATGTATATGGATAATGATAATTATACTATATACAATATTTTGGAGAATGGACTTTAAATTTCAAAGGGGGTGAAGTTTGACAGAAAATCTCAAAATATTACTATAAGGAAGGAGGGTCTAATAAGATATCACACGTATTTATTGTTTACCTAAATATTCAAAAAATCTATTTTTTTAAACTCCAAACATTTTACGATATTTTCTAGGTAATAAAATACATGTGATACAGAAAGGGGGGTTTAATTGTAAATATCACAATGTATCACTAAGGGGTAGAAAGGATTCAAAAATTCAAGAATCGATCACGTGGTAAAAAAACGCCTTCCTAACAGTGAGTGAAAATATATTTATTAACACGCTAATCACCTCGATGATATCAGAAAAATTGGACCAAAGTAACTTTATTAGTTAATTTTATTGAAAATATTTGAAGAAAACTACATGTATCAAAAAATGTTTTTGTCAAAATTTCTGAAAAAACACTATTTTATATGTCACACATGTATGACTGACAAACTGACATAGTCCTATATAAAAACATTCTTCTCATAGGGAACTTTTTAATTACATACCCATATGACTGACATGGAGGTTAAAGTGTTAAAATAGCTTTTTTTATTAATTTGTAATAATTATATTAGTTACATTTTAAATCAATTAGTTATTTTTATTAAATAATGCTATTTTATCCATTAATTTTGGTATATTTTATTTAATTATGTTTTAAAGAAAATGGAATTTTGTTTCGGCCGTTCCGCGTCCCGCTTATTGATGAACAACCTGGTTCGTAGCAAATTATGGTAAAATATACTTTCTGTACAATTTTTGTTACAATTAGTATATTCAAATTACCTGTTAAAGTAGCTGAATGTACTGAATGTATAGTTTGTTACGTAAAATAAAACAAAAATAACAATAGATAGTGGAGTATGGCATTGTGCCTTAAAGCAAATTGCTGGAACTACCCTTACAGAATAAGTTTAAATAAGAATTATTTAAACTGAATAACGAAGTTAAAATTATTTATTTAAGGTATGTAAGTGAGCTTTAGAACTTTAGCCAGAATTAAAATTAAAATCTGAATTATTTTCGACATACAAAAAAAAAATGGAAATAATTTTTTACCAAAAGTAACTGTTTTGTCAACACAAGCAAAAAGGTTTTTGAATCATTCAAAAATTCTCTCAAAAACTGAAATTCTTTGTACATTCAGCACTGTATCTTCGAAATGGCTTTGCCTTTGCCTTTGCCGAAAACTATTAACCACTTCTCCCAATCATTACAAATTGAATGTCTTTTGGATCATTCAAATCGGATTCTCCGTTCTCTCAAAAACTCGGTTTCTATTTTCTGCACTCTTTGCTCCGTATCTCCGTAACGGCTGGACCTGCCTTTGCCAAAAACTAATCAGCACATCTCCTTATCAATAGGAATCGAACGTTTTTTGAATTTTCAAATCGGTTCATCCATACGCCCGAAATCACACATACACAAACACACACATCCATTTTTTCTGAGGTATACCAAAATGTTCAGAAACCTCTGAAACGTGAAGATTAGCAAAAAATTTCAGTTTCGATTTTTGGCCCATTACTATAGCTTACCCTATGGGAAGTTAATAAAGCAAAAATTAAAATTGTAAAAACAATTAAGTTAGTCCTTGCTTGCCTTTCCGGAGCGACTCTGTTTTATGAGCCGTCGGTCCGCTAAAGAGACATAGCAAATAATTGCATAAATAGTGTAATGAATTATCTAAAAAAATGTATGAAATTATTAAATAACAATGTAATAAAATTTATAATACAAATCAATTGAAAATGAAACCGTTGTGAACCAGCTCTGCGCTTCCAAAAACAACACAAGGCTTCGAGCGGCTCATTCTGGTGTATTGAGGTTAGTCGTCGCGCGCACTTCGTGAGAAGAACATCGTGCGTTCACAATTCCTCCTTTGCTGTAAAATACTTCAAAACATTTCACAAAAAAATTACATAACCACGTGGTAATATCAAATATAAAATTTCGTCTAAAATCCCTCAGAATGTTCTAGTGCTAGTAATAATTATATTAATATTTGTTGGTGCAAGTGCGTTCATTGCAGTTTCTTTTCCCCCTGTGAATGATTTTTTGTGAAAAGTGTTAAAGTGTTTTATGTGAGTGTTAATGACAAGAAAAAATTATCAATTTAGGTTTTTTTTCGAAGGTTTATTTGTTATGTTTTGGTAACCAGGTGATGACGGTGTAATATGACACTGGAGTATTACAAGTGCAAGGTAAGCTAATTGTGCAATGTGCGCATGTATCAGTTTTGATTTGGAATAAATTTCAGAAAAAATGGAATAGTAATTGGAAAAAAAATATTTGATAGAAAATGAATTAAATAACAATAAAATTTAGAATTGATACACGATGATATTCTGATGTAAATGATGATCTGATGTAAAAAATGCAATTTTTGTTTGGTAATTTTTTTAAAATAAATTTTAATTTTTTGTTAAAATTATTTGAAGCATTCAAAATGCATACGATTTAATAATATATCAAATATAGATTATTATTCAATAAACAAAATAAATAAAGATTATTTTAATAATCTAATATAAACGTACCTATACTAGTAATAAAAATAATAAATATACATAAAATATGATTAATCCAAATTATATATATTAAAATCGTATATATGTATAATTTAAAATTAAAAAAAGATTTATTTTATTTATTTTTTTATTGAATTTGCTGAGAATAAAAAGATAAAAAATTAATAACATAAGTTTAGTCATTATTAAGTCCTTCGATCACGTGATTGGATGACCCCAGCTCTCCTAAGTGATATTTCGTGATTTTTGGTCTATTACCTCCCCCCTTTGAACCTCATATAACTAATGGATAGACCCTAATCCATTAATTATATGGTGTTTAAAAGGGGGGAGGTAATAGACCAAAAATCACAAAATATCACTTAGGAGTGCTGGAATGTCAATCTAAGTCATCGAACACGAAAATGATTACAAAATTATTACAAAATATTTAATAATTATTATTGAACATTATTATTTGCAAAGCCCTAGTAAAATTAAAATAATCAAAATATTACTTAAATTCTTTTACACCCATCTTGCAATGATAAATATTTCAACTTATCGCTAAATATTTAAAATTCTTAATAAAATATTTATTTATAGGAATTCTAAATATGATGCTCTTAAAATTACTTTAATTTCTATTCTAACTAGTAAACATATCCAGATTATACAAACATCCAACTTTCATGATTGAACATTGTTTCAAGTGAAATTACAAAGTAAACAAATAGTAATTGTTTAATTAGTAGATATTCGTTCTACTTATTAGTGATTTTAAATAATGAAGAGTAAAATTTATCTGGAACATGTGTAAATTCAATTGAAATTTTGTTTGCTTTTGTACAAGATAACTTCATCATTGCATTTGTAAATGATACAAAGACAATTACTTTGTATATTACAAAGTATATACATTATTATATATTACAAATTGAATACAAATACTTTGGTATCAAAACATTGTTTTGTTATATAATTTTTAATTTTGATCCACAAAATTAATACATTTCATTGTCAATGTTTTTGAATCCCGGAAACCTTTTTAACCAGGGTTGCATTTTAATATATTGCTTTTTATAAAAAGCAACAAAGTTAATAAAATTTTACTTTATGAGCATATATACCAGGATATTTACTATTCAATATTCTAAAATGATAGTAATCTATTTTATTTTATATTTTATATTAAAATAAATAAAAATATTTAAAATTGTATTTTTATATAAATTTTATAACCCATATTTTATATAAATTTTATAACCCGATAAATATTATCTCAGATATTATACTAATAAAATATTTTATAAAAAAAAATCCAAAACCACAAACTTAGTAGAAGAATTTTAAATAAAATGCTGAATGTTACAAATTTAAAAATTTGTAAATAGTCAGGCATAAATATTGATTGTACACTGAGGGTTTTTTACAAAACGCTAATTTATTAACTAATTACCAAAAAATGCGATCTTTTTTATTAACTAATTATTGTAATCGTCAAGAAATCGGAAGTCAAAATTTTTGCATATTTTCACGTTTCAGAGGTTTCTGAACATTTTAGCATACCTCAGAAAAAATAAATGTGTGTGTGTATGTATGTGTGGATAGAATTTTTCGTCGACGTTTTTGAGTGTACCGCTCAACCGATTTGAATAATTCAAAAAGCAATCGATTCCTATTGATAGGGAAATGTGCTGATTAGTTTTTGGGAAAGGGGGCAGAGAATAAAAATTATGTTTTTGAAAGAATAGGGCTTTCGATTTGAATGATTCAAAAAACATTCAATTCATACTGATGACAAGAAAAGGTGATAAGTTTTTGGCAAAGACAGGCCTAGCCGTTTCTGAGATAATGAGCTAAAAGTGTAAAATATAACAGTTTTTGAGAGATTCAACCATTAGTGTTCGGAAAAGCAAATAAAAAAAATATTTCGAAAAAAAGTTGAACATCAAAAATGATTTGGATTTTCATTTTAATTCTAACGAGAAGTTCCAGCATTATGTTATATTTTTTATTTAATTCAATATTGCATATTCAAGTATGAATTATAATCGTCCACCAAGGGTTCTGTATAAATTATTTATGAAAATCTAAATTGCTTATTCAGTCAAAACTAAAACAGTAATAATTTTGGCAAAGTATTTGTATATTACTATTTAGCAACAACAAAAATTTATGTAAAGTAATTTAATATTCCTGTTAATTAAAAAAAAAAAAATCATTAAACTGATTGTTGGTATATATTGCACACAATAACTTGCAATTAACCATTTTTTAGGAATTTTTAAATTACCAAATAAAATGAAAAATTCATTTCATTGCAATTTATGGTGAGATTTCTGTATATTTTTTATCCACTAATCGGTCTGTTCAAAATATTTATTAGAACGCAAATGGATTGTAGATTGCAATTGCAACACTTTCATAACTTAAGTTGTGTGATTCTAGTTTTTATTTTTCTTCTTGCAACTTTTTACCTAATGATGATATATATTTTTTTAAATTTATTGGCCTTGCGTACTTGGAGCATTTAGCTACCTACAACGTTTCATTTTTATATTCTATATTATATGGTATCTTTTACATAAAAAGATCTGGTTTCTTGGTTCTCCACTAAAGTTTGAAGTCCACTAAATGACGTTTGGAATTTTTTGCTCTTTTCCATATTACCAAAAAAATGGTATATTAGTTGACATTTATATAATATTCTATTAAGTGCATATTTATAATTGCATTATGTTTGTTTTACGCATGTACGGTTTATGTAAATACGTTGTCGCCCGGAAATGCGATTAAAGTGTTTACACGAGCAAAATGTTAATACACGAGCGTTTCCACTTGTTCCGGACTTTAAAACTTTGAATATATATATATATATATATATATATATATATATAAACTATAAGCAACAAAAGTATTGTACAATTTTCTTTGCAATAATATTCAACAAATGAAGCTGACCTATTTCAATAATTTACTGTAACTATCTTGACCACCAAAGACTTTCTGTGTGCCTATAACTGCAAACGCTAAAGGTACAACACAAAGATTTGTTCTCATATCTGAAATATTTTTTTTATTTATTTCAATATATAATGGGTAGTGCTGACCTAGGGCAGATCCGCGAACAGAGTTAAATTCTTACTCAATTCATGGAAAAATAGTCTGAGAGCTTTTTCATTGCCATTTCACACCGCAGTGCCTAACATGGACTATTTTGGTATTGGAAACATATTTTTGATCTGAATTTTTTAAATGAAAATTGATATCACTACTGCATGATATCAAATTGTCCACAGCGGGGTTCAAACTCACACAAAGCAGTGCGCTTAACCATTACGCCATGGAACAACTATTTTTATTTACTATTATAAACCTAAAAAAATCTGGTAATAGTAACTACTTTATTACTAATAAAGAGTTTTAGTTCTAGTTTTAAAGCACTCCACCTAGGGTGCTTTTAAGTTTTTACCTACACTTAATACAAAATGGAAAAAACTCTAATTAGATAGATAGAGTTTAAAATGTTCCAAGTGAATAATATCAATAAAATGTATACAATAAATTATATTTTGCTCTTCGATTTCATTTGAACAATTTTCTTATAATAATATTGAATAAATGACCTATTTAGTAAACTAATTCACCACATGTGACTCAGAAATGAGTATTACTATTTACTGAAATTTATTATTTATTATATTGCGCACAATATACCATATGGTATATTGTATAGCGCGACTTTAATCAGATTATGTTTATTTTAGCTGATTAAATTGCCTGAAGCGTGTATTATTATTATTTATAACAAAATGTTATTTTTGCTCATAAACGATTAGTCATGAAATTTGTTCTGAGAATATATTTGTCACAATCGGAGGAATTCATAATTTATACTTGAGTGATTAATATAGATTTCTTGATTAGTATTCTTGATAAATTGTAGTTGACAATACAAATTTTTGTAAAACTTTGGAGATCCTTGTACTTTTTGCAAATCTTTGTATATCTCAGCAGATTTTTCTACCTTATCTACAGAACCTTGTAATCCTTGAATATTTGCATAAATCTTTTTTGCTCTACTTTGGGCTTTGTTAGAATTTGCTAATTTTGTTAAGTTTCACCATTCTTACCATCAACTTTGCTAGTCTTTATGAATGTTTTTACCTTTTTACAGATTTTGGTAGTTTCTTGCCCAATTTTAAAGATACCTGTAGGTCCTTGAACACCTGCACAATTTTTGAAAAAAGTCGATGCACATTTTTTGGGATTATTATTGTTCTTTGTAAGTTTTACAGATTTTTATAGAATTGCTGATTCATGCCTAATATGAATATCTGTGCTGTTTTTCAAGTTCTTCGAAGACTATTTTAAAAATATGTTGTTCTTTAAGACATCAAAATTAATTTGTTTAATCATCACATTTGACAACCCTTTCTTGTCCTTATATAAATAGGCTCAAAATTTTATCATAAATATCCTGAAAATAGATCAAATGAAGATAAATTTATTTATTTATAATTAGACCTTGTTTACCTATTCAGTGGCACAATTTAGAATTTGTCTTTAAATAGTACACGACTATTATTATAACCCACAAACTACAATATTTGGCTTTTGTCCAAAAGATTTGTTTGCGAATTTCACATAATAATGTCTGGATATTTTTGGAAAGTAAAATTTCATGTAGT